CGATGAGGGGAAAAGGGGGAAAGACAGTGATGAAGTTGTGATCTAAATCCAGCTATATTCAATAGACTCCTGTGAACCTGAGCGGAGACCTTGTTGGCCAGCAGTATGACAAGACCCGGAGACTCCTGGGCCCAGAGTCAGTGAAATGGCCACAGAGGACTTGAGTGGAGAGAGAAGCATCCAGCTGATATGAAGTGAGGGGAGATGCACAAAAACACCCATACTTGCAGATGTACCCACTTGACCTGGCTTCAATGCCTAGATGATCAGAACTCGACTAGAAGAAGGAGGAAAAAAAAGAGTAACCCGCTACAATTTTATGAACGTTACCTATGCTTATGGATGTAGTAGCTCAAAAAAGGGAACAAATCTTTACAGTGAGGATCACTTCCACCCCCTTGGTACACAGGGTTGACAGGGTTGGGCAACTTAGACATTGGCTACCCAAAATGGTGGGGCTACAAAGGCAAAAAGTGACTGGCTTACAAGCTTTCAAGAGGGAGCCTAGTTCCAGATGGGGTGGGGGAAGGTAGAATCTCCACCGAATGGTTTCCAATCTGTTGGGATGGGGCTAATGAAAGGAGATGGGGATAAGACACTTGTGATACAATAGTGAATGATTGCTATCAGGACTGACTGTGAGGGTCAGAAATGTTGAGGTGGATATTTTGTAACAAAAGGAGGGGACTGACTGATTTTGCAGTCTAGGCGCAGAGGTCCCTGGGACTGTCAAGTGAGAAGAGTGAAGGGTGGGACCCTACCCAGAGGAGCAGTGATGCCTGAAATGGAGGTGGAGGCAGAGATGATGATGTGGACAGATGGAGTGGCTGGGGACTCTGGACTCAGGGAGGGAGAGGGGCTGTGTGCTGACGGCTAGGGGGCAGGCATGTATGGTGTGCCGTGTTGTTGTTTGATGTTGCATGGAAGGGATTGTAATTATGCAATGAAATGAAATAAGATAGGATGAATGTAAAATTGATATTCTCCCATGTAAACCCACATAATTCACAATAAAAACTTAAAAAAAAAAAGATACAATCCAAGGCTGTGGTCCTTGATCCTCATCAGTAAATATTTTAAGTCCTCTTCACTTTCAGCAAGCAAGGTTCTTTCATCCACATATCACAGGTTGTTAATGAATCTTTCTCCAATCCCGATGCCATGTTCTTCTTCATATAGTCCAGCTTCTCAGATTATTTGCTCAGCATACAGGTTGAATAAGTATGGTGAAAGAATACAGCCCTGTCGCACTCTTTTCTTAATTTTAAACCATTCAGTGTTCTCATGTTCTGTTCAAACAACTGCCTCTTGGTCCAGGTACTGATTCCTCATGAGCACAATTAAGTGTTCTGGAATACTCATACTTCACAATGTTGTCCATAGCTTGTCATGATCCACACAATCAAAAGCCTTTGTAGACATTAGGGACAGACATTTTTGTGTTCTTTTAGCACTGAACTTAAATTCCAGAAGGGGGCACAAAGAATTTATCATTAATCTGACCAGACCTCAGGGCTAAGGGGACCATAAGAAGCTATTTGTGGTTGGAACAATCACAAGAGAGAGTGTCACTTTGAACACATAGCTGACCCATCTGCCCTAGTACTCATTTTCTCTAGGAAGCACCAGCTGTCCAGGCACAGGGCATGGGTATTGTTTGTTTATTCAAATTAGGCTTTGTAGAGGCATGAGAGGAAGTGACATAAGAGAGTGAAAAGAGTTCAGAGGATAAATAGAGACATTCCATTGAAATCCAAGACTACAAACAATCAGCAGGATTGGAAAGGTTTAGAAAACACAGAAGATAGGAAGTGGCAAACACGTGTATCTATAGAAAACAGCACTGCTGGCAATCACAGAAACTGTGTTTTTGTTCAAAGATGATGCCCATCCTTTATATAACTTTACCTTCATGTCTGCTCAAAAAGACAAGTCAAACTCACTTATCTGCTACTTAACACATTATGGCACCACAGGCTGCAGGAAGACGGTTTGTGCCCTCCAACTTCTTTGGGCACAAACAGTGCTGCCCTGTCTCCTGCACCACCAGGCCCTGAAATCTCTAGATGTAAGAAAACGAAACTGTTTCTGCTTCTGCTTTTTGAGAACTAAAGCTATTTCCAGGAACACAAACTGAAACCTACCCTGACTTTTTTCCTTCCCCTTGGAGGGTTGTGAGAGAGAGAGGAGTGGCCAAGGAGAAAGATATTCTATAGAAAGAGCTGGCTGCAAGAAGGAAATGCAGAACTAGAAGGCGATCATTTTTCAGCATCTCTTTTCTGGATTTCTTTACTTTTTCTAGGACATTTCCAACTCCTCCACAGTCATTCACATCTTTCTGGAGAAAACATACTTGGATTCAAGCTTTGAAAGGACCTAGAGTGAGCCTTTCCTAGAGAAGCGGTTGATGGCCTAGAAGAGTACGCTGACATCTCATAAGCCAGGTCCAGTGTGCTGTTGGTGAGTCCCCATCAGGGGCAAGGACAGATCATCCATATGATCAAGGATGGAGGGGGAAGTAAGATAGCTGTGGCTGGGCTACACTGTGTAAGGTTCTCTCCTCCACAGGGCTAAGGATTGGGTGGACAGGCAGATAGACTGATTTGGGGAAGCTGACTTGACTCATAGAGATGGTCACAGAAAAGGTATCAGAAAGAATAGGGCCTTGTGCTGTCCATTGTGAGGTGGGTTGTACCCTGCACTAGCCAGTGCCCACCCAGGGTGCTTTAAGATGGGGTTTGCATGAGATGGCTATGTGCTCAGCTCGTGGACAGAGTTTAGGAAGAGAAGTCAATTTATTTGCCAACTAGTAATTTAAACACCTACAAAAATATATGGCGGTAGTGTGTCATGTGGTAGATTCTGATTCATAGTGACCCTGTATAGGGTTTCCAAGGCTGTAACTCTCTATGGGAGCAGAAAGCCTCAACTTTCTCCTAGAGAACAACTGGTAAATTCAAATTGCTGACCCTGCAGTTAGCAGCCTAGGTCGTAATCCACTACGCTACCAGGGATCCTTACAAAACTGTATAGTGCTTCACTAATCAATACCACCAAGCTCCCTTTCATCTGTTTACTCTTCTCTAGTCACAAAGTACTGGTGTGGCACTGTAGGATAAGCATTGGACTGAAAGGTCGGTGGTTCAAACTCACCAACCATTCCTCAGAAGCCCTATACAGGGTCTCTGTGTGTCAGAAATGACTCAGTGACACTCAACAACAACAATCCAGAAAGTCTCCCAGCTCAGAGCCAGTCCAAAGGTCCATTCTCTAGCACTGCCCCTTCTTGAGTACCATGCTAGGAAACCACCTCCCTGGCTCAAGGTCATCTCTACTTGCCTTAAGGTTGGAGGCACTAGCCTGGCTTTCCTATAGAACCACCAGTTGGTACAGATGACCTGAAGACTTACTGTGGGAACAGGGCTTGGGGCTCATGGGTTCAATGCAGAAAGGATCTGTGATGGTGGCAGTTCCAAAGACCTTCCCTCACTCTGCATATTTCTGAACATTTCATTAGGCACTAACTCCACGGCATTTCCCAACAACAGATTTCTTAATTTGTCTCAAGTATTTACTACAGATTCTACCGCAGGTTTCTTTAATACAGGATGTGGAGTGAGAGGTGATGAAAGGCAGAAGTTTTAGTTGTCACTCAAAATTAGGACAATGCCATCCAGAGAGGAGGGACTGATAGGTGATGACACTAAATGGGTCAAAATACAACTAAGGAAATGCCTGACCCTCTAGCATGAATAAGCACAGGAACTGAAGATTGGGTTAAAATAGGATCTCCAGTCCCTCGTAGCCAGACAAAATCATGAAATCCTGTTCCTGAATTCTAACCCCCAACTCCAAGCCATAGCTTGTTTCTTATCTGTAAACTTCTGTTTCTTCATCATTATTCAGGAATAATCATACAGTTTACTTAACAGGGTTCGGGGAAGATTAAACAAGAAAATGTGTGTGAAGGACCCAGACTCAAAGATGATGACCCTTAATAACCAGGTGTAAGAAGTTGGGGGCAGGAGGAACAGTAAGAGGAAAGACAGCCTCAGTAATAGGAATGCCTTTGTAGAGTACTTCCCATACATCCCACCATGCAACCATCTCAGGAGTTCTGTGAGGTGAGTAGCACACTCTTTCTGCTTCTCAGAGCAGGAAACTGGGACCTCAGGAGCTTGTCAAAGCTGCACATGGCTGAGCTGGCCCTAAATCTCAAGTAGGGTTCTGAGACCCATTTCTTCCAAGGTGATGCTAAGTCCATGCCCTGAATGTTGTCCAAGCAGCAGCCTGAAGGGTCTGGGTCACAGTCATGGGGCTCCCTGGACAGGTGCAAACAAGACCCCTTGGGTGATTCACAAGGGGAAGAGTGGTATTTCTGCAGAGGAGGATGGAGGGGCAGATCTGAACCTTAGTTATCTGGAGGGCTGTGTGAGGGTTCTCAGAGCCAACACCTCTGTTCAGGAGATGGCCTTGGATTCTAACTTCTATAAAGATTTGTGTAAGCTCACACGGAATGAAGTAAGAGAATTCTAAGGCCATCACCTAGGCTGCTTTCAGAAAGGTAGAGTAGTGTAGAAATCTGTAAGTAATACCAACCTAGTCTCTTTCCCAATTTGCAGTATTAAAGGTTTTATGTCTGATAGAGAGATTCAACAAACAAGGGAAGCCTTGTATTTACAAAAATGCTTTAATACTGCTATGATTACTAGTAATAATTATAAACAATAATGAATAAATATGAAGTGAACTTTTAAATCTTTAGGAGATTATTTAAGAAGTTTGCTGTGACTGATTATTGAAGAAAATGAAGAACAGGCATTTATTTCAGTGAAGCCAGTATTGTTAGATGTTATCTAAAATTTTAGCAACCCCCCCAATTCAAAACAATACCACCACCACCTCAAATAATAGTGATTGGAAAGAAAAAACACTTATAACAGGGCTAAAGAAAAATAAATTAGTTTTAAACCATAAAAAATAACACAGTGAGGACTTTAATGTGTTCAGAAGTGAATTCTTTGGATTTGGGAGGTGATGAAAGAACACTCTTTTCCATCACGCCGCTTTGTCCTCTCCTACTACTTCTACAGGTTACTCCATTGCTGATCGACAGGGCAGAGTCTCCTATGGGCCCTCAAACTGTATTATCTGCATCCTTCCCCAGTGTTGTGTCATACCATAAGGATTGGGGTATTTTATCTGAGGCAGAGGCCAGGAAAACTCAGAATGCCTTGCAAAATGGGAACTTGCTGGAGGTGGTCTCTGCTGTCCTGGAAACTGTGAGAAGAGCATCCAGTGTACCAGTCAACATTGCTGTGACAGGGAACTCTGGGAATGGCATATCCACGTTCATCAATGCACTTCGAGGCATCGGCAATGAGGAGGAGGACTCAGCTCCCACTGGGGTGGTAAGAACCACCCTAACACGTGCCCACTACTCATCATCCCATTTGCCAAATGTGGTGCTGTGGGACCTCCCTGGATTGGGGGTTACCTCTCAGAGCCTGGAGGACTATGTGGTAGAAATGCAGTTTAATGACTATGACTTGTTTATCATCATTGTGTCTGAACAATTTAGCATGAATCATGGGATGCTTGCTAAAATCATTGAGAACATGGGGAAGAAGTTCTATATCGTCTGGACAAAACTGGACATTGACCTCAGAAGCACAACTCTCAAAGGAGAGCCACAGAAGATTATCAGAGACAGTATCCTGGAAAATCTCCAGAAGAACCGAGTATCTAAGCCCCCTATATTCATGATTTCTAGCCATGAATCTTCATGGCATGATTTCCCAAAACTCAGGGACACATTGCAAAAGGACCTCTCTGAAATTAGGTGCCATGGCCCCTTACAAACCCTGTTGTATAACTTTGAGAAGATCATTAATGATAAAGTGGCCTACTTTCAGAAGGAAATAGCCACAAACTCTTTCCCTAATATTCAGAATGCTGATGATTTGACAGAGTCTCTGAATGTTTACCGGTTGTCCTTTGGTGTGCATGATGGATCTCTCCGGCAGGTTGCACAGCGCATGGGCAAAGAATCATTGGAGTGCACTGCTATCACGAAGTCCCAGGATCTACCAGCTTTTGTCAGAGGGGACTGGGCACTGAAATTCATGTCTTGTATATTGCTGAAGATATGCCTCTGTATTCTCAGCTGGTTCCCACTCTTAGGTGGTTGGGTTGTCCATTTTGAACATTTTGTTAGACGAAGGAAACAGAAGCGTGTTCTTGAGATCGTTGCTGAGTACACTAAGACTGTCCTGAGAAAAATCCTGAAAGATTCATTATCTCAGGCTAGGAACCAGCATGGGAACAGTACCACAGGCTCTTTTTCTGGTGGTAGCCACAATAACTGGGTTTCCTTTTCTCAGGTCAAAGAGATTTAGGGGGTTTTTAATTTCTGGAAATGAATTATGAAAATTGCTTGTTGTGCTAGCAGCAATTGTAATGCATTGCTTATCTGAAAAAGATTTGTTATTTTTGTCATTAACATCATTCAATACATTTTCTGGGGTAAGGATATAGAAATGATGTTTTTAGTTGTCAAGTGTCATGTATGTTAGGATCAAACTCTCCTCCCCGCCCCAACTCATTAATTTTAACATTCATGTTCATTAACCATTTTCATCCACTCATCTCTATTCTTTTTCTTCTTTATTTCACTAGACTGACAAAGACACCCTGGTACAGAGGGATAAACCAATAATTTTAGGGGGCAGATAGAGATGTGATTGGAACTGTATTTTAAAACCTATTGGATGTTGGAACCAGGCATTTTACTTTACACCATGTCTCCATTGTTGTTGTTGTTGTATGCTGTTAAGTCGATTCCGACCCATAGTGATCCTGTATAGGGTTTCCAAGGAGCAGCTGGTGAGCTTGAACCAATGACCTTGCAGTTCAAATGACTTTGCAGTCTGACGCATTAGCCCACAGCGCCATTAGATGCTAAAAAAAAAAAAAAAATCATTATTTTGAAAGTAGATATAATTTTGTATTACACAGGGTTCTGATATAAAACAAAAAAACAATTGACACACTCAAACTGGGTTATTTGAGGAGAATTGATTAAGGAAAGTTATTTTCAAAGGTGTAGTCATGGTATAGGGAGATCCTCAAGAAAAGTGTTGACTCCAACAAACAACAGAATAGAATGACTCCTTCCAGGCCTAAACGTGCAAGGAGAAGGTATGTTGTTGGAAGCTGGAGATGACAGTCATACAGACAGGGCCAGCTGATAGGAGCCCTGGCCACAGTAGAGGAAGGCAACCTAACTCCAGAGGCCTATCCAGATGAGTAGAAAAAAATAAGCCCTCTGAGTTTACTCTTTTCTTATAGTAGCCTGATGGTGATGTCCATTGGCGAAATCCAAACAGAATTTAGGGGGCAGAAGAGCCCTAGATATGGTCTATAGAAGACAGAGTGAAGAATAGCAGATGATGATCTGGAGAGGAATGAAAAATGATCATCCCTTGAGTGTATTGAAACTAATTACAAAACAAATATATACCAATATTAGTAGGGAAAATGAAATGTTACTTTTTCTAATAATAATCCTGGAATTCATGATGAAGAGCAAGGAAGTGCTTATCATTCAATTAATTTAAGGTATTTAACTTTCAGTACACTTTTTGTTTTAATGTTTAAGTTTTTATTATGAATTGAATGATAGTTTACATGGGAGAACATTAGTTTTACACTAATTGTTTCATTGCCATGATTACAATCTCGTCCATGCATCATCATTCAACAACACTGTTTCTTTAGCCTCTGGGTTTTTTAGGCTACGGAGGGGTGGGGGTGAGGTGGGGGGTTGTACACAAAAACACTCAGGAGTATATAATAATTTAAACAAACAAAGGGCACGTTCTGCAAGCCTGCCTCCTGGCCGCCAGCACATAGCCTTTCTCTTTCCACGAGTCTAAAGTCCTCAGCAGCTCTATCTCTCCATGTCCTCATCTCTGCCTCCATCTCTGGTGTTGCTGCTTCTCTGGATAGGGTCCCATACAGACATATCTCTGAATTAGACCTGTGTATCCCATTATTAAGGGCCACTTCAGGAAAATCACTGTACTGCTGAGGGGATGAAGGTTCAAAGCAACCAGCCTGTCTGCAGGATCAAGATGGGGCTTTCTGCTCCCATCAAGATTTACATACAAGAATATCTAAGCCTTGTTAATTCAACATGCTAACTATATCATAAATATATCTCTCCTCTGATCACTGTTTCTCACCTGAACTGCTGCATTACTTTCTGTCTCACAGTTAACTCATATATACAGATAGTGGTCACTATCTCAGAAGGCCTGGCACAGGACCATTTCCCACTATTTTCCCAATTGATTGTTTGATGAATTTTATGGTCACCTTTTAAACCTCATTTCTCTGTTTAGTACCTCCTGGATGGCATAGACCCTTAAGCTTAATGAGTTATTCAAGAAGCTCTTTGGCTCCCTCTCCCCTCTTTTCTCACCATTTCTGAGTTCCAGCAGTAGCAATCAACTTGAAGGTCCCAGACGTACAAGCTGTTTCATGCTTCTGTTCATGATCTCATTTTTACCCAGAAGGCTTTTCCTACTGCCATGTGTCCAGCTTATTCTCATCCACCACTTAAAGCCTAGCTTTAGCACTATTGCCTCCATGGAAGTCTTCCCTAATAGCATAGACTCTGTCAAGGAGATTTTGACCATGTTTTTAACTCCTAGTACAATACTCTGTGTAATATGATGACATTTTTTATACTAACCAAATGGATAATTCTGAGCATTTGAGTATCTCAGTTGTCTTTTGAGAACATAGACACTGGAAACTCCCTGAAATATGTATATATAAATATATAAAGGGCTGGTGCCATATATATATGACTGGTGCCCTACTCTGCAGTCTTCTTTGAGCAATGTCCAGGAAGGAGGGAAACAATGAAATTCCCAAATAAGTTTGGTGATTGGAAGCATGCCATGGCATGAAAGGTAGGCAAAAAGGAAGACCTCAGATGGTCTTGTTTCCCAGGTGTCTAGGGTTTCTGGAAATAGCAGTACATTTGCTGTTGTTGGTAGGTGCTGTCAAGTTGGTACCAACTCATAATGACTTTATGCACAACAGATCGAAACACTGCCTGGTCTTACACCAACCTCACAATTGTTTCTATGCTTGAGCCCATTGCTATTGCCATTGTGCCAATCCATCTCGTTGGGGGTCTTCCTTTTTTTCACTGATACCCAACATTACCAAGCATGATATCCTTCTCCAGGGACAGGTCCCTCCTGATAACATGTCAGAAGTACGAGAGACAAAATCTGGCCATGCTCGTTTCTAAGGAGCATTCTGGCTGTACTTCTTTCAACACAGATTTGTTTGTACTTTTGGTAGTCCATGGTACTTTTAATATTCTCCTCCAATACCATAACTCAAATGCATCAATTCTTCTATGGTAGTTTTTTATCCATTGTCCCACTTTCACAGGCTTAAAAGGTTATTGAAGATACCATGGCTTGGGCCAAGTGCACTTTAATCCTCAAACTGCCATCATTGCTCTTGAATGCTTTAAAGAGGTCTTGTGCAGCAGATTTGCTTAATGCAATACGTCATTTGATTTCTTGACTGCTGTTTCCATGAGATTTGATGGTTGATCTGACTTCAAAAATAAAGTCTTTGACAACTTCAATCTTTTCTCCATTTATCTTGATGTTATTTATTGGTCCAGTGGTGAGGGTTTTTATACAGAGCAACCTTATATGACACAATAGAACTGCCCCATAGAGTTCTCTTGTCTGTAATCATTAAAAAAGCAGGTATGTATTTTGGTATTTTTTATGCTTTCTGAATGCCTCCAGGTAGATGTGATCAGGAAATGGGCTTTCCTTTTCACTCTTCTTCCTGAGAAATTTCAAGATACCATTGTTGGTCATTTTGATGTAACTTAGGATTTAATTTTTGGCCTATTTCCTCTTTTGTCTGCTTGCCCCACTCCACAATCCCTGTTCAGGCCTTTTTCTAGTTGTAAACAGTTCAAGGCCAGCTGTGGCCATTTGGTTTTAATTGGAAACTGTCTCTTTAAATTTCGAGGAGATCTGTGCGCATGCATAGTGGAACCCTTCGAGGGTGGGGCTGGGGTTTCTGCTAGCTCAGGCATGCCTATAGTCACCAGAATAGAGGTGCGCAGACAGCAATGAACAGATACCAAAAGAAAAGAATGCCCACACCTTTATCTCCGCAGTTCTGCCAGGTGTCTGTGGCCGCTCTGATCCTTCCCCCGCATGGTCTCACCCAAGATGGTGGCTCCTGGAGCAGCCGAGCGTCCCAGACTAGAAAGCAATAGATTTCTTGCTTCTGCCACAAATTCCCCCAGCTGTAAGCCTTCCAACCTTCTAAATATTCCTTTATATGTAGTTCAGAGTTCTGGGACCATCCCCTGAGCCTGCTTGGTCAGGTATTCTGTGTTGTTGTTGGCGGAGCTCTTTACTACAAGTCCACCCGATCCACCATCTTGTTTGTTCTCCCCTATGCCCACATTCTTTATCTTTGAAAGGTAAGAGTGCACTTTCCTTTGAGGGGTGAGTTGCTGAGTGTCATCAAGTCAATTTCAACTCATACTGACTTCATGTGACACACTAGAAGTTTTCTTGGTGGTAATCTTTACTGAAGCAGATTGGATGGTCTGAATCATCAACTTGTCAGTTAGCAGCCAAGTACTTAACTGTAAGTGCTAAACAAAGGGAGTCAATGGAGTGCTTAAAAAGGGCTCTTGGTAGCACTAGAATGGTTATTTTTCCAGTGATGTCCATCACATTCATTCAATATTTTGCAATCCTGAAGGCAAGAAATCCTGACACCTACTCCTCCTCCTGCAGAGTACAGACAATCTATTCTTTAAGCACTGTTGCATTTTCCTCCTGTTCGTCTCCCTCATGCCACAGTCTCAATTCAACACCAATCTCATTATACGCTTCCTATCCCTCAATTACACCTGTCTTTTACATACTTATAACCATTTACAGAGTGCTGGTTATGCTACAGATGACCACTGGACTGCTAACCACAAGGTCAGCAGTTCAAACTCACTAGCTGCTTTGAGGAAGAAAGATGAGACTTTCTGCTCCTATAGATTTACAGCCTTGGAAACCCTACACAGTATTGCTAGGAGTTGGAACCAATTCAACGATACCTAACAACAACAACAACAACAACAACAACAACAACAACAGTCATTTGCAGGAGCCCTGGTGGTGCAGTGATTAAGTGATCATCTTTGAACCAAAAGTCACTGGTTCAAACCCACCAGCCATTCTTCAGGATAAAGATGTACTTCTGAATATAAGAGGTATTACAGCCTCAGAAACCCTACGGGGTAGTTCTACTCAGTCATATAGTAGTCACTATGAATTTG